CAAGAGTTGCAAGCCATTCTACACACACGCAGAAAACAGAGTTTGTTTGTTTGTCAATAATACTTCTCCGTCTAGATATCTTGAAGCTTTCATTTAGTTTGGACATGTACTTCAGAAGATGTGAATAATGTACGTTTCCATTTGAACCCAGGGGTCAACGGGGCGGTGATACAGATCGACAGGTATCACCAAATACGCTCGTACCTTTTTCTCAATGGGTCAACTTGGCAGAGATATCGTGTAATCCTCACTCCCGGCATACACTACAAGCCTGTAAGCTCCCATTGGCTAGACCCCAACCACTGCCGAATTTCAATTCTTGAAATATCAGTCACCCCTGAGGAGCCCATATGGTCTCTATCAGGAACTGGATCTCTTTGTGTACGGCTGTTTTGGGTTTTGACCTGGTATTATCTATACTCCCACAGCGGTTTGGTGAAATGTAGTTAGAGGGGACCTGGGTAATGTATTAGCTACCATACAACAGTCGTTACAGGTTCAGCCAGGACCGGGAACTGACCCGGTGATGGGAATCTCCACGCGCTGACACCACTTCGTGTATGGGCGTGGCTGCCCCAGGGTTCTAGGAAACCTCTCTGGTAGGGGGAATAAATTAGCTCCCAATATGCACTGTAAAAAAAGTTGGGCAAAACAGTGTTGGGCATTTCTAATTTGCCCAACCTTGGTTAAAGCTACATCACTGTTGGTCAAATATTGACCAGATATTGGGAAGAATCTGCCCAAAGGTTGCTAAGTTAATATTTTTACCAACATTGGGCAAAATACCAACCCAAAATTGACCAACCTTTTTACAGTGTGAGGTCAGTCGGACCGATAACAGTGTTTATTGAAGTCTGTTCTATAAAACGTGTACAAAATCTATATTACCCAGAAATACTCTCGTGTCACGTGACACCACGTGACGTCACAGTGAGTATTTGATGACACCCTCTCAGGACGATGGAGTAAATACCCATCTAAAATTTGGTCATCGAGGTTTGAGTCTCTGATATCAGAAAAAGTTACACAGAGCCTTTGTAACGTCACAAGGAAACTTACCCTGATGTAGCCTCTAATCGCTGGAAGTCAAATGCGAAGAAGAGGACTGTATAAGCTAAAAATAAAAGAAAAATAAAATTGTCTGAACCTGCTTTTACGTCTCTCTTGGAGGCAGAAACCTTATTACATTAGGGAGTGTGAAATTGACTTACAAGAAAACAAAGACC